AGTGTTAAACAGCATCATGTATAACGTGTAGGCTATAACTCTAAAGCTTTGTTACAAACTGTTCTCTTTGTGGTTGCTTTTGAGAAATTATTTCTATATTTTCATGCTTGTAGTATAAGAGCAAGTTCCTTTGTATTTGGTGTATACAGAGGCACCCTTAAACTGTGCGGCTTTACTTATACTTGACAGATTTTTTGCATGTCATAGCTGAAAAGTGTCATTTTACATGTGATGAAAAAGGAACACCCTGCGCTACGCTTATGTTCCATATTGACTCATTCGGGGCCAGATCCTTTACCCCAGAAGTCAGTAGATGCTTTGCCATTGACTTCAGAGAGTACAGAAGCATGTGACCTAGTTTGTGCCAATAAAATTTCAAATATTAAGAAGCAATCCTTACCATGTTGGGAAAAGTTATTTGTAAATTAAAAAAAAAAAAAAAAAAGGGGGGGGGGAAAACAAAAAAAGCTAGATCATGCCCTTCCTAGGAAGGGAACATTTCTAGTATCTCCGCAGGGTCATCCACTCAGTGAGTGGGAGATGGTGGCTAGCCATAGGTCTGACATTATGCAAGTAGGCTAGAGATCCCCGCCCTCCTCCCCCCCGACCATGCTTGAAGACTTTGCGTGTGACTGGAAGGCTCCACCATTTTTTACACCAGCAGTTCTTATGCTGCTACTGTTTCCCTTGCTATGGGCATGATCCAGAGCGCATTGAAGTGAATGAGAGTCTTTCCATTTACTTCAGTGGGCTTTGGATCAGGCCCCCTGGCTGCATATTCAGACCTTCTCTGCAGGTTGTTAATTCTGGCATGAACCAGAATTTACCTTTGTGAGATTGTCAGAGTTGAACTCCCTACACCAGAGAATCATGCCATCTAGCGCAGAGGTTCTCAAACTGTGGTCCGTGAGCTCCATTCAGGTGGTCCGCGGATAGTTCCCTCTAAGGTGCGTGCCTGGGCGGCCGCACACAAAAGAATGAAGGGCCACCCACCTAATTAGAGGAGGTGCAGGCGTGGCTCCATTAATTAGGTGCCTGGACCCTGGAGAAGATGCACATGTAAGGTGAGGTAGTGGCCGGGGGGGGGGGCGGGAGGAAGAGGGAGTAGGTGGGCGGGGGCAGTGGGGTGAGAAGAGAGGGTGGGGGGAATTTGGGACGTGCAGGGCTGCAGTGGCCAGAGAAAGAGGCGACTTTCCCCAGCTCTAGGGCTGCGGCTGCTGGGGAAAGACCCCCCTCCTTCCCAGCCCCAGCTCTGTGGCTGCTGTGGTGGGGGAGACCTGCCTCCTTCCCAGCGATGTGGGGAGAGAGGGCACGTCCATTGCATTAGAAAGATAAGACTACTGATATTAAAATATGAGTTGTGTGCTTTTATTTATAGAACAAAAAAAGTTGTTTATTAAAGGTTTGTTTTTATAGCGCTTTTATCCAAAGCACTTTACAATAGTTAGCTAATGGTACAAACAACCTTTGGAAAGATCATTAAGTGGTCCACTGAGCCCCTCAGCAATTTTCAAGTGGTCTGTGAAAAAAATAAAAGTTTGAGAACCACTGATCTAGCATGTTCCTTGGATCTACCCACTTGGCTGCCAACAGACATTCCCTCCTCCCCAAGTTCCATTTCCAGCAGATCTGCCTCAACACATGTTGTTTACAGGAGGGCCTTCCCAACTGGTAGCTCCTTTCTTTTGGTATTTGTAGCCCTCATTTAAAAAGTTACTACTTGATGTGAGATTTGATAGGGTTTGAATACAAGTCAAACTTATCAATACTTTTGATGGAATAATAGTAGAAATAGTAGCACTATTTGTTAAGTGATACCAGATAGTATGACTAATGCAAGTCCTAATATCGATTTTCAACTACATTTTATGAATCCCATTTGTTTATTATGTTACTTATTAAATGTGCCCTTTCAGATGTCTCAGGACACAGAATGTACACTAGAACATATTTCTGTTGGCCATATAGTAAAAGAAATTTTACATGTTTATGTATAATGTAAAGTTAGTAATGTTTTAGGGGAGGTTTCATGGTGAAGCAATGTTTACATAGTGGTGTAATATTGGGCCAAGTCTACATGGGAATATTCAAGAAAGTTAAGGCACGTCAACTAAAGATGCTGTGCACATAAGTTAAAACTTATTTAACATCAATGTGGATGATTGGGTTTTATTTTCTTAAATATGAACACATCACTGTGGTGCTCCACTCTCTCTACTGGCTCCCCATAGAATACAGTGTCCTGTTTAGATCTCTGCCCTAATCTTCAAAGCCCTCCATTGGATTGCCTCTCACTCTGCAAACATGACTTCCCAGGGCAGCGATATTCAGTTGGAACAATGAAACTGCCAGTCAACAGAGGGAGGCTCATGAGCAGGAGACAGCTTTCACAGGAGCTGGACCTAGCCTGTGGAACCCTTGCCCTCAAAAGATAGGAGTGACCCCCCCCCAGATCTCACGGTTAAATGTAAAACTCATTTGTTTTTCTTAGCTTTCTCTCAATCAGTTCTCCTCTCTCATACTCTGTAAACAAAATCCCCCAAAATACAAATTAATCAAGCTATTGCTCCAACGGACTGGGGGAGTTTTGTTCTTATTTCTGTTTGTAAATACTTGGAGGATCACTAGTACTGCAGTGATGGGAGGCCATAGATACATAGAACACACTTGGAAATCTGAATTGAAATTCAACCCCAACTGATTATCCTATTAAAATATTAACAAGAATATTTTGGTACTTCCTCCTATTTTGGTGTTAATGAAACTTGTGTTGCACTGATATCATCCTTACAATATTGAATTTTGCTTCTTACATTTTCTTTTGACTTTTTTGTTTATACATGGTACATAGTTAAAAAAATTAATAAGCAGTGTTCTTGATTGTTGGCATATAATTAGTAAGGCTATTGACATAGCTATAAAATCACCCCCACCACACACTATCTCTTATTAATTTGAGTAAGGAATCAATCCGATCTCATCTTTCATGCCAAACTTGTCATTCCTTCAGTGCCCTAAAAGGACTATTGCTGAAAATCTGACAATTAGGGCTGTCGATTAATCACAGCTAACTCATGCAATTAACTCAAAAAAATTAATTGCAATTAAAAAAATTAATTGCAATTAATCTCAGTTTTAATTGTACTGTTAAACAATAGAATACCAATTGAAATTTATTAAATTTTTTGGATGTTCTTCTACATTTTCATATATATTCTGTTGAATTGATTTCAAAGTATATATTTTTGATTATAAATATTTGCACTGAAAAATGATAAAGAAATAGTATTTTTCAATTCACCTCATACAAGAACTGTAGTGCAATCTTTGTCTTGAAAGTGCAATTTACAAATGTTGATTTTTTTTAACATAACTGCACTCAAAAACAAAACAATGTAAAATTTCAGAGCCTACAAGTCCACTCAGTCCTACTTCTTGTTCAGTCAATTGCTAAGACAAGCAAGTTTGTTTACATTTACAGGAGATAATGCTGCCCTCTTCTTCTTTACAATGTCACCAGAAACTGAGAACAGGTATTTGCATGGCACTTTTGTAGCTGGCATTGCAAGGTATTTATGTGCCAGATATGCTAAACATTCGTATGCCCCTTCATGCTTCAGCCACCATTCCAAAGGACATGCTTCTATGCTGATGACACTTGTTTAAAAAAAATGTGTTAATTAAATTTGTGACTGAACTCCTGGGGGGAGAATTGTCTGTTCCCTGTTCTGTTTTACCTGCATTCTGCCATAGATTTCATGTTATAGCAGTCTCGGATGATGACTCAGCACATGTTGTTCATTTTAAGAACACTTTGACTGCAGACAAAATGCAAAGAAGGTACCAATGTGAGATTTCTAAAGATAGCTACAGCACTCGACCCAAGGTGTAAGAATCTGAAATGCTTTCCAAAATCTTAGAGGGATGAGGTGTGGGGCATGCCTTCAGAAGTCTTAAAAGAGCAGCAGTCTGAGGCAGAAACTACAGAACCCAAACCACCAAAAAAGAAAATCAACCTTCTGCTGCTGGCATCTGACTCACATAATGAAAATGAACATGGTCGGTCCTCACTGCTTTGGATTGTTGTTGAGCAGAACCCACCATCAGCGTGGACGCAAGTCCCCTGGAATGGTTGTTGAAGAATGAAGGGACATATGAATCTTTAGTGCACCTGGCACATAATTATCTTGCGACGCCGGCTACAACAATGCCATGCGAATGCCTATTCTGACTTTCAGTTGACCGTGTAAACAAGAAGTGGGCAGCATTATCTCCTGCATATGTAAAGAAACTTGTTTGTCTGAGCGATTGGCTGAACAAGAAATAGGACTGAGTGGACTTGTAGGCTCTGAAGTTTTACATTGTTTTATTTTTGATTGCAGCTTTTTTTGTACATAATTCTACATTTCTAAGTTCAACTGTCATGCTAAAGAGATTGCACTACAGTACTTGTATTAGGTTAATTGAAAAATATTATTTCTTTTTTACAGTGCAAATATTGGTAATAAAAATATAAAGTGAACACTGTACACTTTGTATTCTGTGTTGCAATTGAAATCAATATATTTGAAAATGTAGAAAACATCCAAAAATATTTAAATAAATAGTATTCTATTGTTTAACAGTGCGATTAATCACAAATTTTTTTAATCGCTTGACAGACCTACTGACAATATGTTATTAAGAAAGATATCTAAGACAAGGAAAGATTTATTTATTGGCTAGAAATAAGGTGTGCATATTTTTAACAGTGAGTGTAATTAACCATTAGAATAAGTTATCGAGGGTGGAGTTCCCCCTCACCTGAAGTCTTTAAGCCAGAAGTTATGATGAGCTTGATGCTGGAGCCACTTGGTGAAATTCTGTGATTTGTATTATGTAAGAGGTCAGATTAGATGAACATAGTGCCCATTTCTGGCATTAAAATCTGTGAAATCTTGTCTGAGCTAACTTATGCAAATGTTTGTATAAATGCTCCTCTCTTTTCTTCACTTGGCCAGATCAGATCATGTTATGGATCCAACCAAATCGGAAGGATACGTGAGCCGGTGAGAAAGAACATGGACTTCTGAGAACACTAACTTCCTAGATCCTTAAAATAGAAGAGCCTGGGATTATGGTGATCAGTTACCAATGGCTACAAAGATGGAAAAGCAATGGACCCCTCTACCTGTACCTGTATAAATAAAGTTTTAGAAGGCAGAGAGAACTTAAACTGAACCAAATAATTATTTCAGCCATGGGAGAAAATGAAAGTTTTTGGGAGAGCTTGATATATGCACATCCTACCTGTGTAGCCTGGAAGCGAGAGCCAGAAGGATCTATCTACCATCTAGCTAGTATTCTATTTGTTGTTGGCTTCATGGGAGGAAGTGGATTCTTTGGGCTAATGTACGTCTTCAGTTTGCTTGGATTGGGCTTTCTCTGCTCTTCTGTATGGGCTTGGCTGGATATATGTGCTGCTGATATATTCTCCTGGAATTTTGTCCTCTTTGTGATATGCTTCATACAATTTATTTATGTTACTTACCAAGTTCGGAGTGTTTCCTTTGAAAAAGAATTCCAGGAACTCTACAGTTCTCTTTTTCAGCCTCTGGGAATCTCCTTGACTGTTTTTAGGAAGATTGTCTTGTGTTGTGATGCAGAAGTGGTTACTTTGGAGAAGGAGCATTGTTATGCTATGCAAGGCAAAACACCTATTGATAAACTCTCTATGCTTGTGTCTGGAAGGTTTGTATCAGTTTTGTTCATATCTATTTACTGGGTGGGTTTTTTTCATCCTTCCAAATATTAAAAGTAAACAGTAATTCCTTATTTGTATATTGTTTGCTCACATTTAATTCAAGTACCAGAGATTAAATAGGCTGACAGTTTAAAAACTGTAAACATGTCCAGGAAGTCTCCAGCATGAGAACACTTTGAGCACAAAAGCCATAACAGCTTAAAGAACAAGGAGACTAATATTTTTTTTCAGACCATTGTATTATACCACTTCCATTTTTCCTTAAGAAATTCAAATAAAGGGAGCATGAGTGCATTCATCAACGTGTACACTGTATTTGTTTATTGTTTTAATAACATAAGAATATTTTAGAAGTGTTCTCTATTAGTATAACCTGACTAATATGGGAAACAAAATTGTGCTACACCGTATAGCAGTGAATGCTATGTTTGTTTTTAATAGCGTATCGCTACATTATATCCTAGATTGTACCTGCCTGCTTCATGGGTGTCCAAGGAGTGGAAAAGGCATAAGAAACAAACAGCCTCCCTCCACAACAGCTGGGCACAACCACAGTCCCTGCTAGTGTCCGCATGAGTGCTAGCTATACTGCAGGAGTAGTGTCCATCCCTCCACATTGGCCAAACATGCAGGGAAATGCATGCTACACTCCTTCCTGGGGTGAGACAAAAGACCTTGCACGCCCCTGCACATGGGAGATGAGAGCATTAAGCCCCATCCTGAGTAGCCCTCAGAGTGGCATACAAGGTGCAGTTGAGTCCTAGATAATTTTTTAACTCATGAAAATCTTGGTCTGTGGAGGGCTAGGCCATTCATACAGAGACCCAGTGTCTCCCTGCTATTCCCCTGGCCTCAATCACAGCTCCTGAAACAGCATTACCTTGCATGGGAAAACCATATATTACATGAGGGATGTCTCCCCAGCTACCATGCCTCCCTCTCACCGTAGCCCTCTAAAATTGCAGAGCCACAAAATAACAAAGGGGGTTCTATTGATCTTAGAAGGTGAATCATGCTTTTTCACCATCTCTATGTATATCCGCCATATCAGGCCATCGTATGCCTAACATTCAGCCCTTCCACATGCTAGTCACCTATAGAATGATCTTGCCTTGAGTAAGGACTATAAGATTTGAACCTTAGTTGCTGGCTTGCTGTTTTGTATGTGCTTGTTCCAATTGCATATAAAAACTTAAAGAAAACAGTATGAACAAATAAGCATAGACCCCACTGACCTCAACACCCTGTACTGAGTATTAAAGTACCTCACATCCGGCTGCTGTTTAATATTAGAAGTAACTTACTATTCTGTCTACTTTTATGAGTGCAATATTGACACATCCACTGTATTTTGGTAGGATCAGAGTGACCGTTGATGGAGAGTTTCTGCATTATATTTTCCCTCTTCAATTTCTGGATTCTCCTGAATGGGATTCCCTAAGACCCACAGAAGAGGGTATTTTCCAGGTAAAACATGAAGGGTTTTTGTGTACTTCTTTAAACTGTTGCATAGTTAATCACTTTAGAAATTAATGTACTGTATTATTTTTGTTATTGAAAATGCCAGACTTGGGCATATAGGGGAGGGGAGGTCTGGTTACCCAATTGATTGGTTATGTCTGTATTCTGTTGGTATTTATTTAGTTTTATATTGTTGCTGCAAAATATGATTGCTTAGAAAAAATGACCCTATTTGGTATTTCAGAATTAGACTGCCTTTGTATTATGTAACGGTCTTTTTACATTTCATCTGGGCTTACACCTAGAGAACTTCTGGATCCAAGGAAACTAGAAATTCTTGGTCTTCTTCCCCACCTGTCTTCTATCTGCAATGAGTCTTGGGTCATATTCTCAGCTGGCTTAAATTGACATAGCTCAGTTAACTTTAACTATTGTATATACAGAGCAGAAAGAATAAGGCACATGCACAGGCAGCAATCCAAGAAGCACTAGTGGCACTTTCAGAGGACTATTTGTAGGATTTCTGTGGCCAATTGTCATAAAAAAAACTGCAGAATCAGGCTTTTACTTGTGCAGCTTTCCTATTGAAGCCCATGGGAGTTTCTTCTGAGTAAGAAGAATAGGCCTGAGCCCTTCATACAATTGTATAGTCAACATCAGCACACTGGAATTTAGCTATTTTTAATCTCATTTTCAGGTAACTCTTACAGCAGAGACGGACTGTCGATATGTGGCTTGGAGGAGAAAGAAACTGTATTTGCTGTTTGCTAAACACCGTTTCATTTCACGTCTGTTTTCAATTTTAATTGGGAGTGACATTGCTGATAAACTATATGCCTTGAATGACAGAGTGCATGTAGGAAAAGGACTTCGATACGACATCCGGTTACCAAACTTCTACCAAGTGGCAGTACCAGGGACACCCAAAGTGCAACCTGCAGAACAACTTGTGAGCAATTCAAGACAAAAGTTCACTAACATTGCAAACTGTGACTCTTCTAAAAAATAACAAACGAAAAGATATGCTAAATTAAATAGGGAAATACAAGTTAATAACAGGAAAATCAAGCTGAACAATACCTAGTAAAGCCAAACTTGATTGAAAGTGCCATTTACTTTAGCTAAAATAGCTTGCATCCCTTTTCTCCCTGCAGAGCCAGCTGGTTGGCTTGTACATCTTGACTAATTATGCATTATGATTAATTTCTTTTGTTGGTCTTACTACTTTTAGGGGGGGGGAATGAATCATGATGGGATGAAGCTTTATTGTAATTGTGGTGCCTTCTGTGGGTTTTTTTTTTTAAATGATATTTGCATAGCGCTCTTGATCATATTTATTCCAACTTGCTTGTCATAATGAATTATGGAATCTATTTCATCATAGTGAAAAGCAAGTTCTTATCTTATTTTGAGTTGCTTGTTACATTCATAATTACAATATGTGAACCTGATCTTTTTTTTTAACCATCAGAAGCTGAGAGAAGATTACTTTAAAAAAAAATGTAAACTCAGATTGTCGTTTTCTTTTTTAAAAAGGGGAAATGACAGAATGTGAAATGCACAGTAAGACAACATTTTTTTTTTTTTTCATTCAGTCCATGAACAGTTGATTTCTCCCAGGCTATAGGAAAGAGGCATTACACGGAAACAAAAAACACTAGTGTAATTGCCGACGTGAAAAAAAGTAACGCAATCCATATAATTGCTGCAAGGTATATAATAGGAAAAAGGTTGTGTAGTGCTTTTAATAGAATGTGATGCTACAGTAACTAGACTTCAAAGGTGTAAATGCCAATCATAATGTACAGTAAATACTGTACGTCAATCAATCACTAACCTATTTAAGTCCATATTTTACAGAAACCCTTTCAATCAGGTTTGTCATAAAGCGACACAAATCAGTAAATACGTGGGGCTACCAACATAAAACAGCAAACTATTCTTCTTAGTAGTGAAGTACTCCTATTTAGCTTGCAAAGTCACTTTTCTGTGCCTATAAACGTTTTAATTTAAAATACATCTTCTCCCTAGTGTGGGTGTCTTTAATAGTTTATGGGGATTGAAGATCAACATTTGGTTGGAGAAACCTAGTTTTATATCTTTTCCAATTGATCTTGAGGTCATTGTGCCTTTGGGGAAGAGGTGTTTGAATGTCTTTCCTAACTTACTACCTTGCTCTATGCTTGATGCATGCCTATAATCAAAAAGGGAGAACCATTACTATTTTATGAGACAATATTAATGCTTGATACATATCAAGGTAGATTGCCTTTTTAATATTTAAAACTTAAAAATTGCTCTAGGGTTTGGGAGGAAAAGTTAGTACCTGCCTTTTTTAAAAAAAAAAAAAAAAAAAAAAAAAACTAGATCTTATGAGTCATTGGTGGAGGTTTAAAGCAGTTGCCACAGTCTCTATCTTGAAGGTAATCTTACTGTGTAAGAGGAAAAACTCTTTCAAAAACACATTCATCCTGGAGCCTGAGTGAAATGGTTTTCAGTAAGAGTGGCTTTACAGAACAAACCAAATAAATCCATGTATTGTAATAATTTTGTTAAAAGTGATGAAAAAGTATATATTGTACATCACTCAATACAAATAAAAGTAGTATTTACAATGCAAGAACAATTCTGCTTTTAGCTTTCTCTGTTTTCTAGGGAGATAGATATGTAGTGGTGCCATGTGATATTGCAGAGCTACTCGTGTATAATGGGGTAATCCCAAATTCATTCTAATAAAAACCTCTTTATTATGTACTCCCTATGTTATACCACATGATGTCACAATGTCCATAAAATGACTTTGTTTCTGTAACCATACCTGCAGCCATTTAATTAACTGAAAGATGCTGAGTCCCTAAATTAATCTTGGAGCTGAGGCTCTACACCATTTTGCGGGAGGTGGCTTGCACTTCATATAATTGGGTTCTCTTATTGCTCTGTTGACTTCTCACTTTTGTGTTCTGCCAAGTCATCCATCTCAGCCACAATTATCAAATATCTCACTCTTCAGATAAACTTTCAGCATTTTTTTTTTTTATTAAAGGTACCCCAAAATTATTTTTTCCTCACCAAATCTGACGTCGATACAAACCCAGGATTGAACATGTCCTTTGCTATATAATTTGTTTTGGATCAATAAGAGGTTTTACAATATTTTATGAACCCCTAGGACTAGAAATGCCATTAGAAAGGTAGTATTCTAACTTTGACAGACATTGACAAAGCATTGATTTATTGCTCTGCTAGACATTCAAATCAAGACATCCTGACTTTTTTTTTTTTTAGAAAGCTAATTTTAAATAATAGAAGTTTTACAAAACTTACTAGTACTATCAGATATATGGCATAAAATTCTGGTCCACTTTGAAGTCAAGGACAAAACTCCCATTTAAAATTCTGTGACCATGAAATTGACCAAAATTGACCTTGAATTTGGAAGGGTCCTAACTGTCAGTGTGAGTATGTACAGAGAGACAGATAGAGACTTTGGGCCTGATTCTAGTCTCACCCCACTGTGTAAATCAGGAATAATGTCATTCATCAATTAGGTCTTACTGGTTTAAGTGACAGGGTAATCGAGTCAGTGCTGCTCTATGAAGCACCGAGGTCCATATTGTGAATCCCTTACTTGGACTGTAGTGACTCTGCTTGAGTAGCACCTCGCTCTTTGGATAGTTGCATTGTCTTGAGTGGGGCTATTGATGGAGCTGGGCTCTATTATAAGTAAGGGGGGCAGAATCTGGCACCATGTGACTGTTTTAAAAGCAGCTGTTTGCCCTTTCATCTGGGCATCAGTCTGTCAACTGATTAGTGCTTCTAGCATTTTTGAACATGTCAGGCAGGAATCCCCCTTCTGAGTTGCAAATTTCATGCCACCAACCAGCAAGATAACTGTGCCCCAGGAAGAATTTAGCTCAAAGAGAGAAGATGGTGTTTGCACCACTAGCATTCTCAGGAGTTCCCCTAGTATGGGTGGCAGAATTTAGTCTTGTGTAAAAAGCAAGGGTTACATTCTGCTCCATTGCCTGGGGTGACAACCAGGGAGAACTTAGCTCTATTTATTATAATACATGGTGCAACTTCTAATCAAGAATTATTTTCCTTGGACCAAAACAGAAACTGTGGCTCAATCTGATCAAAGAAGACTTGATCATGGAGTAGATTATGGTCCATAGCACACAAGATTCTGCCTGTTTTGAAGAAAAATGGGGAAACGAGCATGAATAATAATGCTATAGACTTATCACTCCGTTGAAGCTATGTACTCTTGTAATTATGAAATGATGTTGATACTTTTCTAGAAAAAAGTTTGATAATATGAAATTATTGTGAGACAATGCATTGCCTACTGTTATATTCTCAACCGACATGAAAAATTACAATAAACTATTTTGCCACTGATGTGAACTGGTCTTGCAAGACCATCTGTTATTAAAAACCATTCTCAATTATTTAGGTACATAACATGAAGAAAAAAAACTACACTGAACTCAGGGGTGTAAAAATAGATTAATTACTCTACTGCTGTAATAGTTGAATTTATATTTAAAAAAAAGTGGGAGTATTTCTGAAATACTCTGAGGTAGCTGAATAGACACATTGTCAAACGATTCCTTAGCCTACCTTTGGAAAATGTTTATTTTGATTACATTACATTAATATGCATGAAAAATATAAGTACCATAATGGGTTCATGATTCTAGAGGGAGTGCATCAATTTTTCATCTGCATAATTCATACTAACTTGTTTCTTTTTGTAGAATTTTGTGTGGCTGCAGTTTCTGCTTAATTTTTTGTCTAGTGTAGATGCAGTAAAAGCTGTAATGGGCCTTGCATGGTTTGGACAGATTGTTTTAGTACACCATTCACAGAACCTGACTGTGTAAACACTGATGTTTGAATTTTGTGGTGTTAGTAATCCAGCACAAAGGTGCTCAAGAAGACAAGTGCTATATATAACCCACTTCGTTATTTTAACTTTCAAAGTCTTCACCTCACGTCCCAATGTGAATCAAAGGAATTAATGAAACTTAACATGCAAATTAGCAATTTAGCCTGGTAACTTAACATGTAAATAAAGCCACATCATCTTGGTGAATCAAAGAGTGTAGGTGGAGCTTCATAAATACAAATGTGCTGATTTTCTCCTACACAAGTGAGGCATGTGACCTACCCGGCTGCTCCGGGAGGCTTAAGCAGCAGCTATGACTTCAATGGGACTAATTGCATGAGTAAGGATTTGCAGGATCGTGCTTAAGGTCAAAAAACTGCTGGCAGATTTACCTACAAAGGCAGCATACAAACATCACCCATGGAGAAGGTAAGAAGCTTCCAAGAGCTTGAGGGAGTAGAGGAAGATGTTCCAGCAGCTAAAGCGCTACCCGGGGTTATGGGGCACATATTTTAAATCCCTGCTCCACCATTGACTTTTTGTATGACCTTGAGTAAATCACTCAGCCTAAGTTCCTCATCTGTGAAATGGGGATGTTAGTGCTTCCTTACCTCACAGCAATTTTGTGAGTCAGTACATTAAAGATTGTGATGTGCTCAGAAGCTAATGATAGGGGCCATATAAGCACCATAAGCAGCTGCGATAAAATAATAGAGTGAATAATGTTTGCTCCTTTCAGTGCTGGCACTCACTTCTAGCCCTGGAAGATCTTCAAATACCAAACTTCAAAATCATGAGACTTTTATACACAAAAAGCTATTTTTGATCATTTTAGATATTTGCACAATTATTTTTTCTTTTTGGTACAATGTGGGCTCCTGGTAGCTGAAGTCTTGTTGAATTGAGATTCAGCCATCGAGGGCTTCACTCCCAGTGTAACTGCACTAATACAAACCCCAAGTATACTTTAAAAAAGCTGCACTTTGCATTAGTTGAGTTTACTGTTGCCTGAAATCCTGGCTTTCCTTGTCTACAGTTGGGACTTGCACTGATGCAGCTAACACCAGTTGCTGGCTACCAATGGCTAAAAATGCCAAGTATAGACAAATCATAAGGCTCCTGATTTTACAGGTAGAAGAATACAAAAGGAAATCTCAATGAAAAATATTTAAATTTCTCAAAAGCATTCTTAAAATAGTTTTTTTCCATAGTATATATGGCATATATGTAATAAGATGGTATGAAGTTTCATTAACATTTATTTGGAATAACTTGCATTACTTGTCAAGTTACTGAGTTGTGCAACCATTCCCAATTCCTGCTCATATAACCTTTATACCACACAATGTGTGTGTACACACACACACACAAAATTCATACAGTGTAGAGGATGGACTGTGCTCTGGGAATGGCTCTGGGCTGTGTGGTCAATGAAGATGTTGTTTGTAGGACCCCTGTTTCATTTGTTGCAGAAGATGGAAGGTTTGTAGTGAAGGAAGCGAAATATGGACCTGTGTCTAAAGATGTTGAATGCCAGCTCTAAAATGAGGGTAATAATACCATTTAATCTCAAAGGACTGTTTTGAAA